GACGCTCTACATCGCTGCCGTTGCAGTAATGCTCCAGTGCTATAGGCTCGAACACCTCTAGACGGCATTGATCGGCCCCATCAAGCGTTGTGGGAGAGTCGTACTTGGCGCCGGTGCCGATGATATCGTCTACAGATGCGTTATCCCCAATAGCGTTAGAGCGCTGGGGCAATGGCAGCACGCGTTATTGCAAGTTTGAACGCTGTCGAAGGAACAGGGAATAGTTGGTAGGGAACGTACAGCCATGCATGCCGTTCCAGCTTCCGCAGGTATTATTTCAATGAAGAAGCAGGAAACTTCACGCCAGCTATCCACTTTTGCTGCAGTATTGTTTTTAGTTATCAATCAAAACTCGAATCAAACTACGTCAGATTTGCGTAGTAGTTCTGGATTTCTAGATAGCGTTTTCTTTGCATATTACTGACTTGTTATAAATTTGGTTATATGATAGTTTCAGTCACGTCGACGATCAACAACACTCAGTGTGTGCAGCACTGTTATTGCAAGAGTGATAGGTCGTGGTGGTGCGAATATCAATGCAATTCGTGAAGCAACTGGTGCATCAATTGAAGTGGAGAAGCAATCAGCTGTTCGACGTGACCAACACGATCGACAGATCTGTATTCGTGGAACACAGGAAACTGTGCGGTGAGTTATCAGATATCATCAATGAATTCGCTTTGAAGATCAGTAATTCCATCAAGTTTCCTATCAGAGTAGCCTCGCAGAAGTAGAAGACGTATTTTGCGCAAGTTGTATAGGCGTAGTTACTTGGATCATTGCGCTTTTCTCATTGGCTCGCTCAGCCTCTCTGATATCTTGGACTAGTGGTCCATGAATGAGAACGCGCTTGTCCGAGTGGGTTCGCCCATGCGATCAGCGCAAAATGTCCAGAGAGTCGTGACTTTGCTATTTCCCAAAGAGTGATGAGCGATGACAAGGTGATAAGCGTGGAAACCTATTTGACCGGAAACGGCGAAAGAATGGAGTGAAACGGTCAGAATCTTGCGAAGAAAGAGCCTCCGCTCTCATGTGTTAGAATTCAATTTAGGACGAGTTTCCTGTAGGCATCTTGCAATAAACCGCTACGAGGTGTACGCCGCTTTCGTAATTTACTTAGCAACAATGAATCGATTAGAGCGTCAGGAACGGTCGTCCATTTGTGGGCGGGCGGGCGTGGCGGGCGTTTGGGTCGGAATGTTGTGGCTTGATAGGGCCCTTATAAGGGCACCTCCTTGGAAAAGGCATTATGCAGCGCCTGCTCAGGGTCGCGGAATTCCGTCCTGCCAGGCGTATTAATCCTACTCGTCTTGGGGAATTTATCGTGCCATGCCTTCCAATCCAAAGAGAAGTGATACTCCCCCGAGGAGCAGAAGCGTTTACTTTGAAAATTCTGGAGTCAGTGCCTGACGATGAAGCGTTATTCACGACAACGATTTGCTGTTCTTGCTCACGCGGTCACTAACCTCTTAGACGAAAATACCTAACGAATATAACCCGAACACTAAAGGTTACTGCAGAACCATTTCGAAGAATGGGGCCTTTTTAAAGGTAATTAGAGCAGTGTCAGATTAGGCGTTCGTTTCAGTCGCATCTGCCTTCTTGCCCTGTGCGTCTTCAGCTTCCTTCTATTCCTTCATTTTACTCAATCTTTTTAGACCTTTCAGTGACTTACCTAGATGTGACTCTGGTGGTAGTTTGACCCAATTCAGAGCTGTCATCTCCGCTTGAAATGAAATGAACTCCTGGTTCCAGCCCAAAATGCTTCAACTCATTGCAAGGGGAACGGTTCGCCCAAATTAGCTCAAATATCACATGCTTAGGTGCGAAAACGTATGATACATGCGCCATGGGCTTCAACTTCAAAAGTTGCCCGTGGCGCCGGCATATATGGCGCGACTATCAGACGGTCCCGTATCAAGAGGATGCATCTTCATGTTCAGAGGTAAACTACCCTCAGGATCCAAATATTGTCCAGATCTACTCCGGGGGAAGTTCACACCAAATGCTGAGATTCTCAAATGAAGGGTAGAGAAGGAGAATAGTGCTAGTTTTTCCTATGTACATTAATGTATGTTATAGAGAAACAGCAGGAAAAATTTTAACTCTGGAGCTATTGGAGCACAGCCAGGCTTCTGGGGCACGAAATGGCACCCAGCGATCTTGTGGAGGCAACCTTGCGAAACCTTGCGGATTCTTGTAACCACAACGGCTCGCTTGTACCTTTTCACAGCTTCACAAGAGTTTCCCTGTTGGTCTACATGAGCTGGCGAAAGGAACAAACAGATGCGCAAAATGCACCTCCCAAGCCGAAGAGCGCCCAAAATCTATGGGATTCCGAAGGGTAAATAGTGCCAGTTTCCTCAAAGCACGTCGTCGACGTTTAACTTGTTATAAAAATATATTCAGAGATAAAAATATGAAATAAAACTAGAAAAATAAAAATTAAGTTGGGGTAGTAAGGTGTTTTTCCTACTAGAAACTGCAAAGCTTCAAAGTTTGGGATGATATGTTCCCAGTTTTCACCCTGAAGTTGTTTGAGCACAGTTCGGCTTGGTGGGTGCCATTGGGAGGGGGGGGGGCACGAAATGGTCCTCAGAAAAGCCTGCACAGGCTACCTCATAAAGTCCTGTAAGTTCTTGTAACCATACTGGCTCGACTGTACGATTTCGTAGATTGGCAAGTGTTAACCCCCTAGCCGACATGAGCTGGCTGAAGAAAAGCGAGAAAGCAAAAAGCCCCTCCCAAGTTAAACACCGTCACAATTGTTTCCCTGTTAGTGAACACGAACTGGCGAAA